GTATTGTTGAGGAAATGCCAGATCCGATGGTTTCAAATCGGTTTGATCATGCGCACCTAAATCGAATATAATTTTAAAATTTCTTTTCCATATTATTATATCATTATTTTCCATCTTCCCAAGTGGTATGCAAGACCAAGGCTAGCCTCCTTTCACGAGACCCTTGGTCATTTTCGATGCAGATATGAATATATGAATTATATTGCATTATGGCAACACTTCGTCACGTAAGAGCTGGAAATATTGTTAAATCCAATTCAATAGAATATATTATTGCAATTTGAATTTTCTATTCGTCAATTATTGATGACCAATTTCCCAAAAATCTAATCATTTTATTTTGATTCGATACATGTAATCCTTAATAGCCACCATGTGGTACCCTACCTGCTATTTTTGTATGCTGGAAGAATCTCAATTATTTTCAGATCTTGTAATATTAGATTTGCATTCTTCTTGAAGGAAAATACAGGCTTGGCAATGCGCCATTAGACATTCGATGGGTACAAATGGATATAGAAGTTGTATATTAAATTTTCCTTTCCAAGAATATAAATATGTAATTAATATCCATGGAAATATTTTTTTACCTCATCAATAATTGTTCCAAATCTTCACCTATCGGTGATTGAGACCGTATTTTTCGACAATGATACAATTAAAACAGAAATGGGATAATTTTTTGGCAATGAAAATTCTGGCGCCACATAATTTTCTAGTCGTGGTATAAGAAATTCTTATTGATCAATTTGCGATTCCAATTTTCTAATGCCAATTGTTTACATTGATGTCAGAACAATGGTCAATCACCAGAATATTGGTTAACAGGTTCCGCTACTGACAAATTCGGTGAAATCGAGCAATAAACCCTAGGCGCTTCGACTAATCTGCTTGCAACATCTGGAGAACAAAATAATCTCTTATATAATATCAATATTCTTTTTCCTTGATTCGATATCTATTTCTATATGCATATGTTCCTCATCTATGGATATTCAATAATGAATTTAAAAGATTTACAATATATAGAATCTGGGAGAATGGTATAATCAATTGCAGAATTATCGCTACACAACATTATTTTCATCTATTTAGGGAGGTGGATTCATAGATATCAATCATCCATACCAAATTCGAATTCAATTAATCCGTCAATGCATCATTCCCACCGTGATATAAGGAACTCATGAATTGGGTATCACCAAAACAGGCTTCAGGCAAATATACAATTTGATCTGCATTCATCATCGTCGAATGGTGAAATCATTTGTCCATCTGACCCATAAAACCATATTTGATTTATTATTTTTTTCAATATTTATATTATGTATTTTTGCTATTTTGAATGATGATATTAAATCATCATCAACGATGGGTCGATTGCCTATAAACCAGACGTCAATATTCAATTATTGATGCCATGAATATAACCTCACGCGTCATCTTTATCCTTATCCCAGACTATCTGCATATACCTGCTGACCTAGCTCTTATGATACCTTAGGATCCAATATTGGCCTGCCCTAAATATTATCGTACCTTTCAATAGGCATCTATGTTGAAATATCATATGAATATATATCATAATATATCCCGCAATCCTGAAGATTTTTTGGAATTATTGCGTAATAATTTTGATTACACTTCAATCGGTTCATGTTGTATATATCGAATGAAAAAGAAAACCATATTTTTCGCTCATTTAGCAGAAAACGAACATATTTGGTATTCTTATCCAGATGGGTTTTCTGTCGTTTTCAAATCAATGCAATTGCTATGAAATGCCATTTCATCTGGACGTCCTGCCCCTGGCGAAACCGCTCCAGGACCAGGTGCATCAAATGGCACATCTCGTGTCCGGAAGAGGCACATGTCCCAGGTGTCAACAACGATCCAAACAAATCAGGAACCACCAATGCCCCATTACCTGTGAGATAATAATACTCATAGACCACATTTATATACCTGACAACTTCCCTGGATGCCATACCTCCAGATTCGACAGACACCCTCCAGAATCGACAGAGATCCCCGGATTTCATCATATCAACCCTGACAATGCATAGGCCCCTAATCCACGTCCACAACAAGCGACTCACAACGACAAGACTATTCCGGAAACCCAGATTTATCTGAAATGAGGTACCGACAGACATGATTATGCCCTTTGTATTTGGAAACCATTGCAGAAGTGTGGAATCAATGTGGCTTGGCGACGACAAATTGAGGTAATGATTATCAATTGAAAATTTTAAATATTCCATATTAATCGTGTGGAGTCCAAAACGATTACAATTAAAAAATACTAATATATAAAAATCTCTATATTTGATAGAATATTACAATTCAAAATCCTAAGATGATTATCAAGGATTTTTTCCTTTAATAAATCCCCTTCTTTAGCATTCCTTAGATCTCTACAATACGTCGCCAAAATTTGACGGGGCGATATTTTTCGTCCGTTATAACAATTGAATTTGGCGGAATTGGAGCGCCAAAGCTACCTGCTCTTATAGAATATATCCCGTCGTATGCATTATACGTAATTCAATCCAATACAACAATAAATCAATTATTTATCATTCCCTAAAATTAAAAAACAACATACAATTCAATCCTATTTACGATATCCAACGAATAGATTATTTCTATTTTAGATAATATAATAAGAAATAATCCAATATCATTCGAAATAAAATATTCAATATAAACACAATTATATAAATATTTCCCTCAACAAAATAGATAATATACTTTTTAAACCATACATACCATTTAATTAATCAACATATATCATTAATTAATAAACTAATATTAATCCAATATTAATAAATCAAATTATCTAAGCAAAATATATTACATATAATTTTAGAATATCCATCAAATCAAAATAAATATTAAATAAATTAAAATATAAACAATATTAATTCATATAATTTAAGATTTATTGTTTTAAAAAAAATTATCATTATCAAATAACGATTCCAAATCTCGATAACAATCATTCCATCAACAATATATCAAATCCCTACCAACATATTCTATAAATAATATCTTTAGCAAATCATAACAACATAAAATATTTATCTGTTTAAATCATTTTCAAAAATACACATAATATATTTTGTAGTTAAATACATATTAATATACCTAAAATCTAAATAACCTCTATTTTGCATTACCAACCACCCAAAATTAAAATCTAATCCTTTCAAAATAAAAATCAAATAATTCTAAATATATATATATATTTAAATTATTATATATATTCAATATATATATTAAATTTTATTAAAATTTATTTATAAAATATCAAATACTAATTCTATCCATATATGTTTTTAAATTATATCCATAATATTAAAATAATTGTTTTAATATTATAATCCCGGATTAAAAAACATATATCGATTTATATACAATATTACACCTTAAAAACACATTCTCCGCAAAAACACTTTATAGATTTTTATGAAATAAATATAAACAAAATAAAACATCGTCCACCTACATTCAAAATAAAAATTCATCACGAGAATTTTTAATTTTCAACTTAACCTACATAAAATAAACCATTTCTCGAAACAACATAACGAATTAAATCATAGAATGTATCACAATTCTAATTCGTATATTCTAAATAGATATCTAAATATACATCTTCTACGAACGACCAATCCATATATCGAAATTCTATCTTTCAATCCAAAATTATATACAATAAAATATACATTCAATTCTAATAAATATATTATAATTATAGTTATAACTAATTACTATTTAATTTTTCGTATTATATTTATTAGACAATTATTTATTCAAATATATATTTTTTTTTCCATATTTATCATATTATTTTTGTAGAACATATAGTTCAATTTATTATTCTGATGAATTTGTTTTTTATTTTTTTTCATTATTTTATAAAGTTCCATGTAATATATGTATTTTTAAGTTATTTTCTATGTGGTTCGCAACAAAATATTCATGTTACCTCAGGGGTCACCACAAAGAGAATGGTTTCTTGGGTTGCATACTGTATCTAAATTTATTTCAGAACAATTCTGCGGATATATTTTGAGCTCCCGAAAAGTCTTCGGACTTCACAGTTCCCTTCCATGCAAACAGTGGGGGCTGTCTCAATCCAGTCTTAGAGAAGACTCAACATCCTCTTCTTAAAATCTTCCAGGAGTCTCGATTGAAGTCACCTCAATTCTGATTTTGTGTGAAGCATAGACTTGGATGGAGCTCCAAATGATCTACTTTTGGCATCAGAAAATGAAGACACATGAACAAAATCGTTGAATCATGAACGTTGAATCATGAACAACCCATGTTTGACACATGTTTCTCGTGTTGACCCCCCCTCCGAAACATCAGCATCCAAAAGTTTCTTGAACCGCTATTCACCCAAACCGAAGCCGTTTTCTTGCTACCTCTTCTTGCCGTCCCTTTGGGCCCAGCCGGACCAGAAGCCCTCCGACTCTGGGTGCACCAGGCCATCTGCACCACAGGTGGCTAACACCCGACCCGAGGCGTGTAAGGCATGCAGACCTTCGCGGTACCTGGGACGCTGGGTTTTCTGAACAGAGACGATCCGATGCCAGTGCCCACCCAACATTCCGAACGGTTGGATGACACTTGTGCCTGCATCATGTTGGAGGAGCTTGGCATGTGCTTTTTACACATGTTCTTTTTGGCTTGGTCCCCTTTCTTGACCAGTTTGTTGGGCTGAAGAACATGGTGTGAAGGTCTCTGTGAGGCATCGAATCCGGAGCCGTTCAGAATATGAACCGAACAGTTGTTAAGACCTGGACCAGTGTGCGTGAATGAATGCCCAGCCGATGTGGGGCATCTACGCTTTGACTGATCACCAGCTGCAACATCCGAACGACTGCAACATCACCCACATCACCCGGACCCGTCGCAGGCGCTCTTTTCTCACGTCGCGTTTACGCTCCTTGAATTCGACCGAGAAAGCCGCCGACCGATTTCGCCGCCTAACCTGCCCGCATCAGCATCTCCTTTTTGGAGCCACAATAGGGGCAACATCTGTTCTGAAGGAACTCCAACTCCCAAGTTTCCTGGCGCCGAGTCACGAGGAGAGGCCAGGCATGGCTGGCAGGCATGGCTGCCAGGCTGGCGCACGCAAACCATACCGTTGGCAAACAAAGCAAAAGACCGAGGTAAACCGGGATGATGACGAATCAAAGCTGCAAGGATTTGGTACGTGGGAGGGTTGGCTGTTGGCATGCATGCTGTTGCTGTCACCCCCTGCGATGACGTCTCATGGGTCGACCATGTCAGGCTCTGTTTTTCTCCAACATTGATCCTGCAATGGCTTGGATTTCTCCGCTGGGCCGTCAACCCGTTTCCCCTGTCCCTATCTGACTTCGAGAGCTCCATCTTGGATGAGTCGAAGAGAAACCCGTCCAAAGACCGAGACCGAGACTTGCCCAACCCAAGACCACCCGATGGATGTGGATCGGGTGGGCACCCACTTCATTTGGGAACGGCCAGCGCCTGGAACCGCCCTGCCGCCCGAACCGCAGCCTGGTGGAAGAAGTTCCCGCAGGCACCACACACGGCGATCGCCACCTGTTGGGATTCATTTGTTTGGAATCGCAGTGACTGTTTCTGGCTTCTGTGTTTTGTGATGTTCTGCGATGTTCCTGTTTTTTTGGGGGGGCACTCGACATGGACTGGAGGCGCTCGGTCTTGACGTTGCCCTTTGTGGCAGTTCCCCTGCAGTTGTGCTGCAGCCTCAACTGGCAGGATAAAGTTCTGCGCCATGCATGATCCATACAAATGGACAGGTCCAGGGAGAGCTTGGTCAGACAATCCCGTCTCAACTTGGGAACCAAGTTACTTGCGGATGACGTGGTTTTCTTCCAAGTTACTGCGTACTTCGCAGTGCACCATTCGCGTACTTCGCAGTGCACAGGAGAACTCCGGACATCCACCCTGGACCAAGGACTCAATCCGACTTATCTCTTCTTTTCCTTCGAAGCTTAAGCTCGCCACGTACCCCCCCGACGTGGCCCCGACGGCTCATCGGCTCGGCCCCTTTTTTATCGCCGCTGCGGAAGGGTCACCAAATGTCACCAGTGTTTGCCATCGCGTCTTGTCAGCTTTCAGCTGAAGTTGGCTGAATGACATTTTGAGAAACAGAACTCAACAATATGCAGACCTCACTGCGTGGAGGCACAATATGTGGCTGACAGATTTTTGCTTGCCAGATTGCTAGGGCACATTTGTGGCACCAAGGTCAAGCAAACATTCTCGTGCGGGTCGCAATACCCGAAGTGTTGACCTGAGACGTTGTTTGAGTCGTGTCGCGGCGCTGACGCTTTCTTTTCGGCGTTTCTGGATGGTTCATGGTGAGAATCCATCACTCTGACTGAACAAAGAGCGGGGGATTCTTGTTGTTTTCGTATGATTTCACTCTAGTGCGTGACCTCGGAGCTCCCGGAGCTCCATGCGAGCGATTAGAATCATATCCACAAAACTGGTATGTCCCATGATCTTCTACCCCCCTGGTTCCGCGATCCACATGGAACCTGAAAACCACGTCAGGTTGTGGAAGCTACTCCTCTAAAGGTCCATATGCGGGTCTCGAGAGCAGGTCTATTCCATTTGGCCCATCCCATCGTCTTCGCTTGGTATGGCTTGGTGCAGTCGCCTGGTGCCCATCCCATCTCCTTTTGAGGTGCTTGAAGGGATACCTTCACTTAGACTTGATGGTCTAAACATGCATGTATAAAATATGTTGAAATAGTCTTTGGATGATCCGAAAGGCATTTCCAGAACCAAGGGAGGTGCCCAAAATAGCATTTAAGACTATAGGGAGTGTACAGAATGTATGATTCTTTCTCCGAGATCCTCACGTCAATCCCTCGCTCAGATCGCGAGTCGAGGTCGGCCCAAACCCAACCGGACATCAGGTCCCAACTCTCGCACCGAGAAACAAAGCAACTCGAAATCACGCGCGTAGACCTGGCCGGCCACTCCGAGGCAACGGGCGCAGCATCTTGAGACCATCGTGAACATCGTGAACTCTGTCCATTTTCTCGAAGATCGAACTGCCAAAACATCGTCCTCCAACAAATTCGATCCCCTCCCATGATCGAGATACTTTACACTTCCCAGACTGGAGAACAGCAGAACCTCCCAACACCACCGTACGCCCGAGTGCGTGCGCACGCCCGAGGAACTCGCGCAGAACAAAACGCCTGGCGAACCAAGCTCTTGGTCTCGCAGCTGAGGTCGCCAGCCCAGACCTCATCACAGCCCTCCACGTGCAAGATGTCCTGAAAAAAAACAAAACAAACAAACACGCACACAAACAAACGGAAAGCCGAGGCCGAGACAGAGCTTTTTCGGTCACACCCAACGGGTTCCGGAAAGGTGTTAAAGGTTTGGTTTGGGCGTGGTGTTGGGAGGTTTGGGTGGGGGATTGCTTTTTGTATTTGTTTTTGGATGGCTCTTGTCATATAGTATCGCGATGGATCACGTAATTAATTACGCACTTGGAAGACGTTCTAAAGATGTTCATCAATCGTCTGGTTTTCGGGATGTGGGGGGTGGGATATGGTGGGATCCAATCAATTTTGGAGAGAATATGGAAGAATTCAAGCATTCTTCCGTGCTTCATCACTGGGAGAGCTTGAAACTGCCAAGTCTCACTGGTGGCAATGCTCATGGAATAGCCATACTCTTCAAAGAGCTCGTTGGCCGTCTTCGGGAAGTACCGATTGTCCACTGCCAGCGTGATGCCATATGGTGCATCAAAGTAATGCGCCTGCGGGAGGAAGGCGCATTCCTCGGAGTAGGGGTCAATGGCTCCGGAGAGGATTCCTTGCATCTTCTTCTTAATCCTTGGATTTGCAGCTTCCGGCGAGCCGGGCAAAACACATTGAATGAAACCATTTAAAAGGCACCCTCCCCAATGCCATGTCACGCTTGACATGGATGGAGCCTTCGGGAAAGTGGATGGATCCACAATACTGCACCTGGGACTCACCCGGGACTCGCTTCATCCAGGACTCGCAGTATCCACCTCGCACGTGAGGCGCTCCGGGCCCCAATCGCCTCCGTAACCCGGATAGCTGCCCCGGAACTGCGCCACCAGGCGTTCGTAGGGGTCACGGAGCACTCCGAAGCGCTCGTGGTCTCCTAAGGAGACGAACCGTTGGGAGAACTGATTGGGAGAACTGAACCGTTTAGTTTTTGGGACAGGTTTTGTTCTTCGCTTCAGTGCCACAGAGCACGAGCTGCTGGACTGGGTCCCTTTCTTCGTCCCTTTGGTTCTGTTCGCTCCTGAAAATCCCTCTCATCCACCCTTCAGTGTCTGCCAAGCCTCCGAAGTAGGCTTCGGCTAAGGCAGTGGGCCAATGTTTGCCCGGGGTAAAATACATCGGGCCTTGCCAGCGACAGCCCGTCATGGTGCAAACTTTTTTTTGGAAATCCACAAACGGAGAGAGATGCTTGGTCCGCGTGCTTTACAAGACATATCAGTGGCATTTTGGGGGAAAGAACACTTCTTGAATCTTCTTGAGATATGCTCAAGTAAAAGTATGTTCCCTCTCAGTCTTCTCTTGGATGGGACATGACGGGATGCAGTCATGTTTCATTCTCAATGGGCTTATTGGGCTTGCCAAACGAACACGGCGAGCAAATTTGGCAAGCTATTTCAGCTAAGATCTTACCTGAGCTCATAAGGTCTAACCATAATGTAGTATCACATCACCAGGTCTCACCATGTTTGCATGTTTATGCAAACAAAGCAACACATACACTCCGAGTTACAAGTCTATCTATCTATCTATCTATCCGCATTGTGTCTATATATCGACAACTGTACCAACACACGTACGTATACTGTATATAATATATATATATAATATAAATATAGACTATATGCAGATAGATAGATAGATTGCCCCTCACGGCTGCTTGATGCTAAAGGAACATGGTCATCCGTTCGGGGCCACTTTCCATCCACGTAACCGTGATTCTTTCAGGGTGTTTTTTGATGTTTTTTTGGGTGCTATCCTGCATCCCCGTGAAGAACCGTGAAGCTTCATTCCAAACGAATCGATTCGGACTACATCACTGGATGTTTTTGCTTTGGTCACTGCTCCCCGGGCGGGCGGGTTCGGGGGTTTCCCCGCCCGGTTTGAATCTCTGTTTCTTCCTCCAGTCAGGCGGCAGCCCGTGATGTTCGAGATCTCATGCAGTTCAGGGTTCATTCGGCCCCAGAGCTCCCCTCCGGGCACTTTCAAGCGTTCCAGCAGCTCACGTTGGTCGGCCTAAGCACGTTTGCAATGGTCGTTGAAGTCCCAAACGGTGGTGGACACGGTGGTGGACACGGCGAAAAGAGATGGTGTGGATAGGGGGACACCTGTGTCAAAGACTGGTTGCCTCAGTCTGGTGCCAAGAGTCTCCTTTTCTGGCCGTGACAACTAGCTTTATAGCTTTCTGCATATGCTGCATATGTCTTTATACTCAGATTCTGACTTCTTGCCTTTTCAGTCCAGCTAGGAGCTTTTTGACAGCATTTGGCTGATCTCCACGGAAACACTCATCCCACGGAACCCCACGATTCGTTCCCCACGACCTCTATCGGGCTCTAAGGAACTTCAAGAGTCAGCCCTTCCACGATGAGCTGTCCTTCCAAGTACAACCTCTCATGGCCAGATCCTGCGAAGGCCACTTTCTCGATGGTATGTCCAAAGTTGTAGGGCACGTGCGCGAACACCATCTGATGGTCCCTGTGATGGTCTCTGTGACCGGAACTGCTTCCAGCGACGCGCGATTCCGCGTCGCGCGAGGAGTGTTCGCGGAACGAGTCGCCCGTCGTCTCGAGAGCGACTTGCAAGAACCTCGGTTCTTCGACTCGAGGAGGAGTTCAGGAAAACAGTTGGATGGTGTCGAAAAACGGAGCATGTTCAAGCCGAGGCTTCTGGGGGGGCAGTTTGTAGAACGTGGCACTTTGGAGATTGGTTCCAGCCTTTAGAATCTCAGAGAGATGAAATTGCGTTGGAGAAGCCAATGCGATTGAACGAAAGTTTGAAACACAAAAGCCTCTGAAACACAGAGATCAATCACAAGCTCCGAGCAAATCATGCCATAGCATCCGAGATTCAAGGGCTCAGATATGTTCTCGTCAAGGCCAGTCTTGTAAGCCCAAGCGAAGCCAATGCAAGTGAAGACTCTTAACATACCAGGACCGATGCCACAGCATACGCTGGGCATATATGAAACAGCTTCAGTTGGCGAAGTGGTGCGAAGTGCGCACCAGAGTTTAGTGTAAAATCATGATGCTCCGCCATCTGGCAAGCCAAATGGCGACGTGAAGGAGCTTGGCAAGCTCCAAGTGTTTGACATATCCAACCCCATGAACATCGGTTTGTTTCACCACCCTTATACTACTCTTTGAATACCTTTGAGTCTGTACTTACAATCTCAAAGGACATGCCCCAACATTCCCCAACTGTACGACAGGACGATCCTCTTTATAGAGTGTAGAAGTTTACAGTAATTCGCAACCCCATCCAAACCAAAGAAAACCTGTAAAACATCCCAATGAGATCACCCAAATACACCAAAATACACCAATGCCAATCCCACATCAAAATGTCCAAAACTATATAAAACAAGTCCTGGTCTAGAGTTTGGCCAAACCAAACACTCGATCTCGCAAAATACATGACCATAGACGAAAGCGGACAAACACACGGCAAAACGGTTTAAGAGCCACATCTCTTCGGACCTGCACCAATCTGGAGTGTCAGAAATCGTCTTCTTGGGTCCTGAGATGTTTCCTTTTTGTGCCTTCTTTGTCTTGTTGAGTTTTCCAACAAATCCAATGGATCCAAGAAATCTACCAGGACCATCCTGTCTGGGTGTCCTGGCTATGCTACCCACTACAATCCGAAATCTCCAAACAGGACAACCCGTGGACGGTCTAGGTAAACCATGATATATTATAGATCTGAGGATGACTCTGGCTCACAAATCCCTGTTGACATCTGTTGAACATTCCAGATAGTCGCAGAAGCCAAAGCTTAGTTCTCTCGTGTTCTCTCCCTCCCTCTCATGTTGGAAGACTCCACCCATCCAAATCCTTGGGACTCAACATGACTCCACCCACTCCACCGGCCAGGGTTGCAAATCACCCCACGCTTAAACCCCACGCACGACCCACGCACGAGTCGACCCGGTGGACTGACCGGTAGACCGACCGGTCTGCCGACCGGTTCCGCGTAACCCGCGGAACCCGCGGAAGAACCCGCGCCTCGGGGATCATCGACCGGAAGAAGCGCACCGGCAACAAGGGGCTGAAGCGCCGGAAGTCCGCGGTGTACACCTCCTCAGGCCTCGCGGACGAGTCCGCGACTCGCGAGTCAAAAGTGGGGAGAGGTGGGGAGGTGTGGTGGGCCAATGGAAGAACATCTATGGGGTTTTCGGTTGGCAGCCTTGAAGCTTTGAAGGAAAGGAGAACAAGAAAGGATGCAGGCAAACTTGCCTAAGTTCATCTGGAAGAAAGACACCTACAGTACCATACGTGGTGCTATTTCAGATGAGGGAACTTTTGCTTGGATCCCCTCTCTTTCTTGTTCGCTGGAGCGGAGCCCATGGAGCCCTCCTCGTTCTTGCTTCACAATCCGAACTCATCTGAAATCCATCCTTCTCTTCATGTCGCCCCCGTTTTCCTCCCATCCTCAAAATTCGACATTTCCCCGAAAGGCTACACTAGCAGCAGAAGGAAAAACCAAAAAACCTATGAAAGCAAGACCGGCAGTCCGTTAGAACGTGCACTTCTAAAAAACTTGCAAAAGTCACAACGCATGCGCACGCGGGCACATGCCAAGTTTGCTATACATTATTGCTTACCCAACCCCCCACCCCCTCCACCTACCTCCAGACGTTTGGGCAGAACAACCACGACCGATATCAAATTCAGTGACAAACAAATTTGACGCACTACCTCTTCAAAGAAAGCAGGCCACCATGCTTGTAACAAACCCAAAAAAATATCCACCTGTCGTCCACCTGTCCTGCTCTCAACACATGTTCAGCCGTGTTAAGACCAAGGCATCATCAGACCAAACCCAACTCAAATACCCGGAATGCACCTGAAAATCTGGATTTCGCTATAAAAAATACATACTTTCGCTATTAAGAGGTACCCTGCACCTGAAACCAACTTGTTTGAAAAGAGACCAGGTCACTCCGGGTCGCCGGGTCCGAGCCTCAAATCCGCCAGCGTCTCGCGATCGATTTTCACCGGCTGGTACCTGCGAGAGACCGCTAGACAGGCCCCTCCCTAAGAATCCGAACGGGATTCTGACACCGGAATGGTGTAAAGGTCCAAAACACTCGAAGCCAACCCTATAGGTGGCGCTAGGTCTGGGTTGATTGGGCCCGGATTCGATCCGGGCTGGTCGAAACCCTCCCCGCCCAACGATCCACCCAACGATGCCCGGAACAGCAACCCATGGTGCTTCTTCGAGCCTTTCGGTTTCTCCGGCGCCTTCCTTTTTGGACAGATCGCGGACTTGAAAAAGCATGGGGACTTGAAAAGAACACCTGGCCATGTGAGCAATGGCTTGTTGGCTTGTTGTGGTCTGTCTTTGATCTCTGAATTTCATCCACCAGGGCAAAGCATGATACCAGCCAGCAGGTCCCAGCGTTTCAGCAACTCAATGGGTTGACACTCATGGACTCATGGAATAAGACTTAAGACATGCGACGCCAAAGCTTTCCGTGCCGCCGACTGCACACCATCCCTCCCTTTCGCTCTCATGTCAAGCTGTCTAAACCAAACCGTGCTTTGTCTCGGAGACTGTCCTTAGCCCGACTTGGACTAGACTGCAGATAAACCAATGGCTTGCAAACAGGCTTCTAGATTCTAGATGCTTCAGCTGCTTCAACTTCTAGTATTTCTAGTCCACTTTCATCCACTTTCCCATCTTTTATCGGCAGCTTCGCAGGATTTTCGTCCTGGGTGCGTCTGGGTGTCTCGGCCAAACATGGGCGCCGAGGTACCTCTCTTCGCCCCGTTCGACCAAACCCCCCCGCGTCTCAGTACCACGGCCGCACCGGGTGGACGACAGGCGCACGGCTCGCCAGGGACGAAATAGCTGGCGGCATCTAACCTCAGTTCGTCCCTGGCGGCACCGAGGACTGGCCGCACTGGGTGCGACGCGCGGCACACCCGCCGCCGCCGGGAGAGAAGCGAGTCGCTGCTCGCTCTCCAAGCGCGGCGAGATTTCAAACGCGCGTCGGGCGAGCGGTTGCGCCAGCGCGAGCGAAACAAAGACCTACAGCTTTGGCCTCGGACCCATCGTAGCTGTCAGGCCAAGACGAAGAATCTCTGAAACGTTCCCATTGTCAAGACATGCATCACCTGTGCCACATAATGTAGGAATGTGAAGATATGTTAACGACGCATGCCACAAAGTTTTTCACATGATGAGAAACCAAAGAAACCACGTGGACGGTGGCCTTGATAAAAGCAGCACATGTGACAGGAAAAATCTGTTGAATACACTTCAAGCTTGCTATATACACTTTCTCTCGCTACCATCGAGCTTCGTGTGCCACATGCCACAAGAAATTGGCTTCTAGAAGCCAATAAACCCCACAGCAACCATCTCATCTATGGAAGGTCCTCTGTCCTGTACTTCGCTTCCTCCTTTGGTTCTCTTGTGGTTGGGGGCCGTGTGCCCAGTTTTTCGCATTGATTCTCTTCGAGCGAGTCCCATCTGTGGTCCCGGCATCTTCTGAACGAAGAGATCCGTGCCACCATCATCACCACTGGGCCCCTGCGGATGTCCGACCGGTCTTCATCGGTCTTCATTGGGGGGTATGCACAACTGAGATCCGTACTGGCCCTAAAAATGGCAGCAGTCGGCCCCAACACCTTCGCCCTCAAAACCCAATGTTCGAGGGCCGGGATTCTTGGGGCTGTTTCATTTTGCGAGGACCCAGGACTTGAGCTTCATCTCACTTCACATCAAGGAGACACTGGAGGAAAAATGCACATGCCGAAGCTGAGGACGAAGCAGTCGAAGTCAAGGTGTGGCGATGCAAACTGCTGGGACACCTTAGAATGTGACCTTCAATATCCATGTTCTGAAAAAATGCACAGTGGTCATCGAAAACCCCTTTGACATCCTTTGACCAGCAAGACATGGATGTTGCATGGATGTTGCAGCTTCTACTATGTACACCATACTACACTCACATCTATTACATTGATTCACAGCTTTTACATCCAGTTACCAATGTTACCAATGCCCATACGACAAAAAGACCTTCACTCCCTCTAGTGGAATCCCCAGCCACATGGCACACCACCTCCTAAAACCATCCCCCCAAATGCCACACACCACACCAAAACCAGCGTGCCGGTCTCCTTTGGGCCCGCACCGTGCCGCGCAACGCACCGTGCCCGGCACCGCCGTGTCCCGAATCGGCGGTCGATGGCCTCGTGCAGGGACATCACTTCCGCGCCGCCGCGGGTGCTTTCGTGCCAGCCGTCCCCTGGGGAGGCAGGGAGGCGGCGTGGTGTCGCCCGCGGACGGGTCCGGAGCTTCACCCCGGACCCAAGGACGGTCGCTTTTTCACGTGGGGATCGCGACTGGACGGGTGGCATGAGGTCAACAGAGAAAAACCTCTGGCCCCTTGGAGGAGCCTGACAGGTGCTTGGCATCTCGTTGGTTTCTGTGTTGATAGGGATATCAAAGTTCGTGATCATTCATGGTCCGGTCCATCTGTACTTTGACAATTGTGCCGCTCCAACGTTCTTTGCTCCAACGCAAGCTTTCGATGCCCACTGCTCGCTGTCTCCGTCTCTCTTTCTCTCTCTGTCTGGTCTGATCTGGTCTCTCTTCCCCTCTCACACAAGATGTCACCCTGAAACCGTGCCAGAAACCGTGCCATCGACTTGGCGCCACTTCCTGCTTGGCTGCGCCCTTTTTTGGGGGGGTCGCCGAGCCGTCTAAGGAGGTGCACATCGTTGGACCGTGCAGGGCCCAGCCTGCACTCTGGGACTTCCGATTGGGCTCTTGGGCGATAAGTCTTTGCGCCTAGCCGGCCGCGCAGAAAGCGCGCGCGGCGAACGGTCGAAACACTGGACCACTCTGCAGGACTCCACAGAGTTTCGGACAGAAGACCTTCCCTGCCATCCCTTGGGCATTGGTTTAGGCGCCCTCTGAAACACCCGAAATCAAAAGACAAACTCGGCAACGGGCCATCAGGATGGTTTTGTGAGTTGGGTGTCTTTTGAGGTGTTTTCCATTTGCCCAAAAACTGTTCGAACGAGATGCAGCAAGCCAGCAAGCAATTCTTCGGATGCAGCAAGCACTCGACTTGGACTACCTGATGGATGCCATGGATGCCAATGGAAGATCCTTTCAGATATGGATGCCAATGGAAGATCCTTTCAGATCTTTCAGGTTGACATAGGTTGAGAACCTCCTCATGATGAGACCCACCACGGGTCAACTCCCGACCAGGTCGACCTTGTTTGGTCCAAGCTCGTCCGAAGAAGCTGCGAACCCACCTCCTCGAGAGAGATATCGGTCTCTGGCTGGAACTCTACCAGTGGTAAAATGTCGAAGCCCAGGAAGGTCCGAATGAATGGATGCCTCAGCACAGCGGACTGCCGGCAAACTGCGGGCCCTTGCAAAGGCGCTTGCGAAGCGGCGCTTGCGAAGCGGAGTTGCTCAAGCATTTGTCTTCAGCTTCTACTTCACCAAACTTCAAACTTCCCAAGTCATATCCCAAATAAATCCCAAATTCTCCAGACTCTTAGACACGAGCACGAAAGCACAATGGGATTGGGAGCCGTTGAATAGCACTTCATGAAAAACGCCGACGAATTGAAGGTTTTGCATCCAAAGGCTCATCATAAGCCGAAAGGCAACAGCGGCAAACATCAAAAAACTGTTTTTTTCCCGGAGTTGCAGGCGCCCAAACTGACCCAAACGAGTAAGCAAGAGTCAGTGTTTTCTTGCGGGGGAACTCACAGGCCCTGTTGAGTTGGGTTTCCCAGCGTCATGTTCTCTGGGTGGCCGGACCCGCAGTTGATGCAGGAGTCCAAGTTGGAACGCAGCAGTGGATTGGTGGTCATGCACCAATTGCACACTGGAAGCAAGTCATCCTGCGGAGAAGGCTTCCACTGACATCATGTGACATCATATGACATGATATATGACATCATATGTTCAGTCATTCTTACCCAGGTTCAGTGTTACTTCGCTTCCCCTGACATCATATGATGTCCATCTTCCACATCTTCGGTCTCGCCCGAGTTTCGTCCGGTTCCCTGTTTCTTCGGTCCCGCCCCAGTGGCGCGGGGCCATGACGATAGGCACCTTGAGACGAGCTCCCCTATGTTACAGAAAGAACAGGAGTGAGAGTACCCAAGTATCTCTTCTTCACACAGTCTTTCCACATATAGTATCACGTATCTTCACATGAGTTCTGAATGAAGTGATTAAAACAAAACAATCTCCACATGTCCTGACATCCTGACGACCCCCTGTCAAGGAAGGACAGCCCACGACTCGCCTGATCACTGTAAGCCTTGGAGCGGATGGACAAGCAGGCCAGGTCGATCTGATGTTGCCACGTGGGTGGTACTCTGAGCACCTGCACCGCTGCAGAAGATGACGAAAACGAGGACGATGACCAAGAAGAAGAAGAAGAAGAAGAAGAATCAACAAGAAGACAAATAGTAATCAGAAGAAGAGAAGAAACGAAAGAAACACGGAGGCAATGAACATGAAGACCGTTTTTGGAACCCAACACCCTTGTGCATTGACCCGGTCAGGTACTTCAAGCAAATAGATCAAACGCTACTCCAAGCCCTGGCAGTCCGTCATTCCGGCCATTGGGCCACTGGGCCGGCTTCGCTTATATAGACACCCCAAATAGATAGATATCTCATGATATCTCCGTTTTAAGGCTGTATTGGAAACCGTACCACTATCTATATTGGGGACCACAACGAAAGACTACAAGAGCTACAGCTCGAAGCGAGATAACACGAAGCCAGCGATCCACATCAGCCACGCAGCAACGACCGCCGAGATCGGCCCAGAAGGCTGAATCGAAAAAAAGCAGAAATGATCCAAGGATGGACATCCGATCACATCACCCACAACGAAAGGATATGAAACTATAGTGTCAAACATGTCGGATCAAACATATATCACACCCAGCATGGCCGAGCCCAATTTTCTTAAACCATCTTAAACCTGAAGATTGTCTTGATATGTCTTGATGCCTTGGCTGCATGCCATGATGCGGACCTGGCAACCTCACCTGGAGTCCCTCTTGCTCCCCAGTCCACCCTTCTGTACCTCCATTCATCTCCTTTTGCAGCGACCACACATCCGTCACCCCGTCCGACCCGCCCACCCGCATCGTTTCATCTATCGACGTCGATATCTGATGACCTGCAGCTTGTCGTACGCCATCCTCGCGAGCTTGAAGGCCTCGCCATCGCGGGCGTTGATTGATCGGCTGGGATTTGTCCCCCCACGCGTTTGGAAGGCCTCGTCAGAGTGTGGTCCGGGTGGTTGGAAGAGTTCCAGTTCTAGGTGGGGAACACTATGGGCCTCTGAGATGTTCTCGGGTTGGAAGGAACCACAACCAGTCTCGGCCAACCTGTTGGACCTCCGAGTTCCTCGTAATAACCGGCGGCTCGAGCTAGCTGGGGGGGTCGGAGACAGCGGAGGATACGAACCCGTTCAGTGTAGATGTCACATCTTCATGAGACTCAAGGAGTCCTCAAAGATGCAGCTACCATCATTCCTTGCGCAGGATTCCTCGGACCTTTTCACCTCTTTTTTCCCAACCAACTGGACTATGCCATAACTACCGTTGAGAACCCTACCGGCTCTCCACCGCTTGCCAAGGGGCTCCTAAGCTCTGAGACTGCTTCGCCAAGGCGTAAAGGATGTAGACCCGACTGATGCCCAGCGGCACCTGAACCGACCACGAGCTGCGCCCGGAGCGGGTTTCCGCCCCGCGCTCTGCGCGCCGGGGGGGTGGACGAAAGGGACGGTCGGTAGGTCTTCAGCAACTTGAAGAGAGAGACTCTTGACTTGGCCACCAAAACAATGGACGACACGAGTCTGCCCCTCGTTTTTGTTGGGAGGCCTCCATGAGGTCTCAGCATTGGATTTGAGAACACCTGGATTGTGCCACTATGTAACGTTCGGTTTCAAGGAGCCATATTCCACCAACACATGTCGGTAAGCCTTTGACCTCCTATGCATACCTGCCTGTTACCGACACCTGCCTATACTTATAATTAGTGATGAGTCATTAGTATACACCACCATGTCCTTCATCTTCCTGGCCTACTTTCGGCCCGACCCGGTTGGTTCCCTACCACCGCCACCAAGCCACTCGCCTCGCCACGCCTCGCCCAGTTCCCCAGGTATTCCCACCTCCTTGAGAAGGTGACCCTTCGCTTGAGCACTGGACTCCGCACGGGACCTCAGCTCCGCTCCACTGGACCGCGAGAGACGGCCGAGCGGCTCCGGGAGAACGGCCGGCTCCACAGACGAGGAGGGAGCGCGCGAGGTCCGCAACAGAGCGCGTTCGGACCACGTGGCATTTGTTTTCTTTCGTCCTTTCTTCTTGGATGGGGGGGGCAAATGCCGGTGATGGTGGGGAAGCGAAGCTCTTGATGAAAAGTGGATGGTTGTTTGCATGCTGCACCCACTCGCTCCGAAATCATCGGAACCTCTTCAAAGTCCCAGTCTCCATCTATGATCATCTATGCACCCACCAGGGCCCCCTAAGACTTCCAAGGGACAACTTCCACCACAAAACAGCCACACGGACAAGCTCTGAATGGGGAGAGAACGAGCAACTCTTGGAAAGAGTCGACCATGGCATTCCTGGGTTTCAGGAGAAACATGGATTAAACCATGGCATTCTGCCCTCGTTTGGGGCCAGACTCCGTCCATCTCTGTTTGGAGACCTCGGATGTCTCATCCGCTCACCATGAAGTCCTCTAAGCCTTGGACCCCCCCGCGGTGCGGAATCGACATCAACACCACCCGCTTCGTCGCGTTTTCGAGCTTTGTGGCCCAGAAACACGTCCGCGGCGGTTTCTCCCCAGCCACGTTTTCGCTCGGGCAGCGTTTGGGGTGTGTATTTTAGCAGGGAGACCTCCCAGGAAGACCGCCTGGAAGAAGGACACTAGACCAGTCTACCGGGCTTTGGCTTTGGTTGGGAGGTCTCGCTCTGAAAATACACAGCCATATCATTTGGGACTCCGCACTTCTCTAAGAAGGCTGCTTCTGCTTCTGGACCCCCTTGCACCTGCAGTTTATGGAATGTAGAGTCTGTAGAGTTTTCCTCCAGGATCAAGGCCTTGAATAAACAAGAGTCATCAAGAGTCATCTGTGGAGTCCCGAAAAAGGGACTGTTCAGCAGGGACTCCAAAGGACGGCAGGACGCACATCTTAAACCAAACCAATGAAGCACAAAATGGTTTCCACTGCCCAAACATGAGACGATGGACTTGGTCGCCAGGGTGGTTTTCTCCGCAAACAAGAAACATGAACCTTGCCCAAGCAGTGCGGCGGTATCCTGCCGAACAAGCAACTTATATAGTTGAGCTGAGCTTTACAAATCTAGCTGTAGATTTTCATCGTCAACTTCATACGATGTGTTTGGTGCTTCACTGGGAGCCCCATTTCATGCCCCGATGTCGACATGAACTTATGGGCTTGCCGGATCTTGCCGGAGCCAGTCCGTGCTGGCCTGTGCGAGGAGATTGGAGACTGGCTGCGCAGAGAAACCACTGGAGGCCAGGATATTCCACCTTGGGAGACAAGAAAGACTGGCTTTCTTCCACCCTGGGAGTCCAAAGCCAATGCCAATTCATGTTCATCAACAACCACACTAAAACAGTGAGCTGAGATCTTTGAAGTGCAAAACAAAGGCCTCTTCAGATGGTCCGACGAACAGTGACCCATGGTGAAGGAGCTTCCTTTCCTTGGGGCAAAATACGGTCTTTGGACTTTTAGGGTTCTTCCTACACTTCCGAGGTCCTCACATGGACCCTGAGAATATATTAGATCCTGGCATCCTGAAAGATAAAAAATCCTGAAAGACAGTGTTCCTCTAGCAGGTTTCTGGTTTTCAAAAGTCCATGTTGCAGAAAAAGACATCACTCTTGCTGACTACTCAGTCCTGTTTAACTGGGATCCATCTTAGAATACTGAAAAGGGTCCTACGAGTTGAATCGGGTCTGCGTGGGGTCTATGAGAGTCTACGATGGTTCTGCTGTGGTCTTGTCAACCCCAAAGTGGCGGAAACTGAGCATGGACTGAACCTTTTTATATAAACGAATGCCCACTCCTGGACGAGACGACACACGGGGCTCTGGATGATGGTTGTATTCTCTCATATATCGTCTCGTCGCCGGCCAGCGTATGATTCTACATGTTCTCATATTCCACCGAACACCTCAGTAACTCTCGAAACTGATAGAACATCTCAAAGAAAAATCCTCCTCCCAAAGGACACATTCACCTTGTGAAGGTGTTCAGCAAGCCCAGCCCGCGGCCCAGCCCCCGCATCTTCCAAGTGGTCCAAGTGGCAAGAACAAGGCGCAATTAAACACATGCTCCGGCAACAGTGTGGTGAAAGGCTCCTGACACGGTGACTCAGTCTGTATCATCTCTGAGAGTCTTTGAGCACCAAACAGCAAGGGGATGTGAAGAAGAGATGAAGTTCGGTGCATTAAGGGATGACAATGATGAACGCCCTTAGTCTTAGTCTTCTTCTGTGACGTTGCCCTTCCATGCACTTGAGCCGCTGGTCTTTGCTTTGAAACACAAATTGTGGGCACCAGCACTCCACACCAAGACAAATCAGCGATCCCGCCTGGATATAGGAGTGGATGTACGAATAGGCCTCAGAGCTACACACACTGCAGAGGCGTCCAACGAATGACATGGTACGAACCTTTCATTCATTCATTCATTCCATGCCATGCCATGCCATGCCATGCCATCCCATCTCCTTCCTCTCCTTCCTCTCCTCTCTCTCCTCTCTCCTCTCTCTCCTCTCTCTCCTCTCTCTCCTCTCTCTCCTCTCTCTCCTCTCTCCTCTCTCTCCTCTCTCTCTCCTCTCTCTCCTCTCCTCTCCTCTCCTCTCCGTGCTTCATTCATTCATATCCCTCTGTCCCTCTCTGTCTGTCTCTCTTTTCATTACTGGCTTCTGTCACAAGATCAGTCAATCGCCAAAAGTCAAGACAAAAGAAACACATCGATCTTCTTTGTTCAAACATCCAGCTAGGATTTTTGGACACATTTTGGGACACATTCAGCTGCTCGAAGACCAAGGCCTCCGGCGTAGTAAATATCCGCCCTCCGCCGCAGCTCCCAGAAGTTGGAGACCAAGGCCTCGTTCCGCCGCAAAGCCTGTCAAAGCGTGGTCGAACGCGGAAACACCAGGCGTGTCCAGTGGTCCAGGGCACCCCCTCAGTGGAACAAATCATGGTGGACACCCCCACCCTGCCCCACCCTGCCCCCCACCCCACACCGGCGTTGCTGCGCCACACTCTCCATGTGTCCCATCCGGTGGCACCTCTTCGGGGCCGATGTCCTCCGGCGGTGGTGCGGCGACCATCTCCAGGGCCAGGCGCCAGAAGTACCCGGCGGCGTCCTCGCGCCACGCGCGGCCGAGTGCAGCGCGTGCGAGTGCAGCGGCGGCGCGTGCGAGTGCAGCGAAGACGTCGCGCTGAAAGGGAGAGAGGGGCGGTGTGGGGCGGCTTTTGGAGACAGCCGAAAAGGAGGTTGGAGGAGGTTGTGAAGTGGAAGAAGTTGAGATCTGTGTGTTTTGGGGCTGGATGGAGTTGGGCTGCTGGTCAAGCCAAAAAAATCTCCGACACCATGATGTCAGCCTCATGTTTTTAAGGCTCAGGGAAGGTATATAGACCCCAAAATAGATACGAGAACAGATTGGCAAAGATGATCCCCAGTACGAATGTACTGGGAAAACCGTGCCACTATCTACTTGGGACCACTTCGATCATTTTGAGAACTTCTGGATGAGTTTGTCCCAAAACCTTCCAGGTGAGGACGAAGTCTCTGGGTTGGGAGTGGACACCTCTTCTCACCTCGGTGCAGGGAGCGGTCTTCAAGCAGCAGGGAGCGGTGTCGGCCGAGCTCGCTTTCGGCGTTCGCAAGAAGACTAAGACCATTCAAGACCTCATAACTCATAACTTCTAATCATACTTGGGCCTTGGGTCATATCCCATTCCCTCAACCCGAGTGGATGAGACCATCAGGTATATTGGGGCCGAGGTCTCTAAATCATTCTGAACTGTTTCTGTTACAGGTCATGGGACACACCCCTAACCATACATTCTAGCTGTCGGGATTGTTGGAATTCCCTTGGTCACTTCGAGTTCCAGCTCCCTGTAGCTGGGGAAGAACTAGATACCCCTGGCCACCCAAGCCGGACCCGCTTTCTTTTCTGAGCAAACGCCTCCATAGAGACGTAGTTTATAAGCTGTATAAACATAGATTTTGGTTAGAGGGGCGGCATTCAAGACCACTTCTTTGTCCTTGGTGCCCTTGTGGCTTTCAGGGGCGGGCCTCCGAACGCCTCACATAGCCTCACATCACTCCTCACTCTCGTGGCGCACCGAGCGGGCTTTTTTGACCTCCCCTGTGCTCGAGGTCCAACCAGCTCTGACTAGAGCTGAAACGTGCTGAAAGACTGAAGGACACTTGCGCGTTTCATATGGTCAATGTCTTCCAATGTCATCTTCTGTTGTCATCTGTTGTAATCGGTCATATGGTTTCAATATGTTTCAATATATCTCCGCTGCACAAAAAACAACGAACATCAACGCACCAATCACTGTCCTCCTCTGAAAGCACCACGCACCACGCACCCTTCTGCACCGCGACTCTCTCAGAATCTCTCAGAACCTCTTCACCAGGCACCGCACCGAAGGATCGTCCGCTTCCGGAGCTCGGAGCAGCGCTGCTCCGCCGGTTCAGCGTCGACCTCTGGGGGTCGGAGCGCCACGTGCCACGTGGCGGGAGCGAGTCGCTTCGATTCGTCGCTGGATTCGTCGACCTGAGTGTTGATTCCTCGAATGCCTTTCGGATCATGCCACTGACATGAAATGCTTTTCGGCTCCAAAGACCTGGGAAAACACAGATTCACCCGCGGTGTCTTGACATGGTGTCTCCGCTTGACCCTGCTTGATGATTCATGGACTGGGGTGCTAGTGTCTAAAAACCAGCAAGAAACAAGGACCTCTTCCAGCAGGCCTCTTGCCGAAGAGCTCATCTCATGCTTGGATCTAATCTAGTTCTTCTTGGCCATCAAGTGGAAGGAGCCTTGCAGCACAAACTTCTTGGAACTGTGAACCACCGGGGAAATCCGGCACATCTTTTGCCAGCCTGTGTTTTTCTATCTCGGTTTTTTCTTCTTGGAGATGAATCCTACCTTGGTTCTCGGTTCAGAAGTTGTTCAGTCCAAAGTCTATCGGAGTCTGTCGCTCGCTCCCACGACCCCCGCCACCTTCGTACTACCTTCGTCCCCTCCGACCATGGACCTCATGGACTACCGACCTTGAGGCGGTGTGAGATTGTCCTATCAAACGACTCTTTTTCGGCTCAGCAAATCACATTTGATCACATTTGATCCAAACATCTCGTGGCTCTGGCCACAGCACGTATCGAAAACAGTGCAGCTTAGGTTCCCCATCTTCCGCTGCCTCTGCAGCTTGTGCCGCTTGTGCTTTCAGCCTCTCTTCGCCTTGGCAGAAGAGAAAAAAAAATCCAGGTTCAAACCCAGTTGTGTAGACCCTTGATTAATAATCCTCCTATTTGGATTGTAAGACCTTTTCTGTGGGCCTTTTAGTGATCAAGAGTCTACATTAGCTTTGGACTTGGGACAACCGTCGCACCCCAAACACCCTCCTTCGTTTAGGCTCGCCAAGCTGCCTCCCAAAGCTTCCCAGCGATGCTGATGTATTTTTCTTCGTTTTCCGATTCTTTCGGGGGGGGGATGAAGCGCTTCGAAATCGCTGCCACGAACCGTGGCACATGGCTAGTATCTGGGCTCAAGTGGTTTGTATCTGATTCATCCTCAAACAATTCATGACTTTTATCAAAAGATTCTATACCATCAAACTCCACCGCAGCGACGAGAACTTCACTCGGGCAAATCAATGTTGAGTTGCCGGTGAGGTGCCATTGTGTTTGCCAGAATAACAATCCGTTGCTAAGCTTTCGATTCTCGCACTTCCAAACATTTCCAAACGTTGAACACTTCTCTCTTCTACAAACATTTCACATATGTTCTAAACACCAAAAACACACCGCGGCTTTTGGGTGGTTGACCCGCATGATTTCTTGAAGGGTGCTGGTGGCTTAGCAGCACGTCCTTCTATTCGAGCGAAGCATTGATGTTTCCATGTTGAAGTGGTTGCCACTGACCCGCCACATCCTGGGCCTCCCCACGCCGCTGCTTGCGGGCAGCCAGGTCCGCCGCAGCTTCCTGGAGGATGGCGGACGTGGATGGAACGACCTCAGAACCTCTCTGAACACTTTGATCCTCAGGACCTCGGATCTTCAAGGCATATTAGGCCCCAGGATGCCCTAGGCCTGTGTGATCCTGTGTGTCGCTGTGCCAAGCCAAGCACGTTTCACACGCTACCGCTTGCGGTCGGTCGATATGCCCTGCCACCGGCCGATCGCTCCCGCGCCATGCCACCGTGACCGGAAGGGCGCCTCCTTCTCACGTTCCTCTCGCTCACGCTGCAGGATCCCTTTGAACATCTTCGCGGGGTCCAGCTCCGCCTCCAAGCCAGCAACCGCTTACTCATGATCGTCACGGAGAGGACGCCCATTTTCTTGACATCAAGTGCTAAGCCAATCCAAAACAGGTACGGTAGACCAGCGCCTGGGGGGAGCTCACTAGCGACTGTGTGTGATGCATTGAAGTCTTTGAAAGTAGTCATGATATGTCACGATTCATTGCACTCATTCTATCCTCTTTACCTTACGCCTTGCCCTGTAGAGGAACAGGATCCCCATTTCATAAAGGATAAGTCATGGAGCTTCTCATTCTAGTGGTCATATAGATCTTCCCTTTGAGCCACGACTCGTGGGCCTTCCTCTGCCGTGACCGCAACTGCTTCAACTGCTTGGCCACCGTGGTGTCCGCTGGCTCCAAGCGCTGAGCAGCCTGGAGATCGTCCGGATGCGTTCGGGGTTTCTCACCAATCCCGGTTTTGAGGGACCATGCGTCTGGGCTGTGAACGGAGAGTTGAAGTGGACCAGTCGGATCACCGGGTGAAAACACCTCGGTGCCGAAAAAAAGATCTCATGATGACTCTGCCAGCAGTCACAAAGGGGTGCCTATTGGAGGATAGGGGTGCCCATTATCCACTCACTTAGGGACTAAAAACCACTCCTTTGTGACTCCTGGTGGATCTGTTTTTCTTGCTTAGGTACGGTGCAGCTGACGGCTTGCAGCTCTTGGACTCAGTATTGGACTCATCGTCTACGTTCATCACAAGAGAAGGCTACCCACCATGTCAGTTTCACAGACGGAACTGACGGGCAGTGGGCAGTGGTGGGCAGTGGGCACTGCCCCAAACGCTGCTTTTCTTACATCCTGCCAGGACTCCTGTCAGGTTCTATGATCTCTGTGTCCTGAGAAGCATCCGTCCCAGCTTCCCACCGAAGGATCTGTGGTTTTTATTGGGTTTAGTGGCTTAGGACCATCCGAAGCTCCGGCACCACCAAGTCACTGTCCACGCCTGACTTTCCGCAAGTGCCAAGCTCAGAAAAAACCTACTCCAATGCGTATCCAACACTTAGCCAGCAGTTGAATGGATCATAGTGGGTCAAAAAAAACCCTTCTCACTGTCCTTGAATCCCTTCAATGCCCCCTCCAAGCCTCCCATGTCTCAAACTCCCTGCCTCAAAATCTTCGATCGCGTCTGCCAAATACTGCAACTTCTCCTTGGCCAAGCCTCGTCGGAAGAAGGCTTTGGCTTTCCAAGCACCTTCCTGCGAAGCCCTTCGCAGCATCACCTGAACGTGGATCTGCCAGGGTGATGCACAGGATGCATTTCGCTTGGATCTTTTCTGCAACAAACACAGGACAAAGGATGCTACAAAATGCTTTCATCACACCAACTCCCAAAAAAGCCACCCGCGGTGTGGTTTGTATTTTTTTTTTTGCAGTGAAGGAGACAAATCCGGCCCCTCTCATACCCTCTCTACGCAAATAATGGATGTTTGTTGGAATATATAGGATGTATGTTGGAATCTTTATAGCTGGTTTTCGTGTTGCAGCAAGGGGTAGGGTTGCAGCATCGGTTGCACATTGCAAACATCCCTTCTGCGCGACCCTCGTACGCGACCCGAACCATGCTTGCGGATGTTTTGGGAATCTCGTGGTCGGCTAGCTGGCGCCTAGCTGGCGCCACGCCCATCTTCCGACTCCCACAGCATCCGTGCCTGCAACTGGGGCATCTTCTCTGCAATCTTCACCTCGGTCTCCTCGTTCTCCTCGTTCTCCACCGTTCCACCGCTCTCCCCGTGCCGGACGAAAAGCTCGTCGCAGGCGGCTCGGGCGTCGCGGAAGTGCTGCACCGCTTCCTGGGGTCGCACGCTGCGGCGCACGGCAGCGGCACGAAGCGCCGTCAGGGGGTGCCAGGCCGGATTGTTCATAGGTACTACTAGTAACAAGTGCCACGCTAGTAGTAACAGGTGCCTTACTAGTAGGAACAAAGAAGCTATTAGAATTAATTTAAAGAGTCGTGGTCGGGCCCATCAGTCGCTTCGCACCCAAGTCAGTTTTTGGGGGCGAAAAGGTCTTGTCAGGCGGTGGATGCTAGGATAGTAGGTGCTAGGAATGAGTGAAGATGAGGGATGGGTCAAGCCAAACCCCTAACAATTCTGTCGCTCTATGTTGCTCTCAGTCTCTTTTGGCACTGAAGTGGGATCGTTTTAGACTAGGAGGATGTTCGCTCACCACAACTCCTCACGAAGGATGGTTCGCGATTCTTGTTCGCTGCTTGTACTCTTCCCCAAACTCCCCCGGAAACAGCAAGAATCGAACAGTCCAACTCATACTTGTAGTATAGACCAACCTTTGCACCGTGCAAGCCACTTGGCAGTGCTGGATCCTTCTTTTTTTCCGGGGCACAACACCGGTTTTCAACCACCGGGCCGGTGCAGTCCTTGGGAGCGACGGCGTCGCCCAGCTTCAGGCAGCACAACGCCTGTCTTCCGAAACCAGAGGGAGTCGGATCCGTTTTGAGGCGCGTGCGGAGCTCTTGGGGGCCCGGCAGCGCCATGAAGCTGGGAAAACGCGCCATGAAGCTGGGACCAGGTGTGGAATCAGCGTCGCCGGGGTGTAAATTGTGGGATCCCTCAACTATGTGGAAAATACTCGTTTCGTGACACAAAGCACCAATAGAAAGCGAAATCCATGAGGGGAACAAAATCGAAACAGTGGCTTGGGTGGGCCAAGCCAACCACCGTCAACAAATGAGCGAATAGTCAACACACACTCTAAAAGAGTTTCACCGTCAGTATACACTTTCAACATTGTTCAAGTTGGTGTTCTTGATTGCCACTACAGACATCAACCGGTTTTTTCATTTTCTTCCCACTTTTTGGCCCTCGTGGGCTCTGTGGGGATCAGTCCGGAGAAACGCTCTCGGCGATTCCCGCGCGCTTCTGCGTGTCCTGCCCGGCGTGGCCTGGTTCAGCAAGGCCGCGCGGTCCAATGTGGCAAAACGATCCACATCCTCCTCGCGCCCGCCGCAGAAACAGTGAGAGAATAAGAAACATTGAAGACACATGAAAACTGACTCATAGGTCCGGTCAGAGCATAAAAAGTAACTGGCTGTTCTGTGAGGCTTTGGAACATCTGTATACAAATGTATATATATAATATATATATATATATGGCGCGCGGTCAATGGCTGAAGTCAGTTGATAGTGTAAGCGAAAAGCAGCTTAGTCACCTTCGGTCTTATCTAGTAAATCTTTAAAGGTTTGCCGTTGCATCGTGAATATGGCCGCAATTGGTTGGTGGCAATTGGTTGGTGGCAATGGGCAACCTTGTTTCGGGATTTTTTCCAACGCGCTTTGGGAATTTTTTCCGCACTGTTAGTGGTCAGGGGTTGCCACAAAGAGAAAAAGAAAGAGAACTAGCGCAGGAGGCAAGGGACAGAAGAGTGGAAGGAGAATGAGAAAAAGGAACAGGATACAAAAATGGCATAGGAGGCAAGGAACAGAAGAGTAGAAGGAGAAGGAGAAAAAGGAAAAGGAGGAAAAGAGGGAGGAAGAGAAGGAGAAGGAGAAAGAGAAGGAGACAGAGGAGAGAGGAGAAGGAACAAGAGAAGGAGAAGGCTCTTCCCGCTGCATCCTTGCAGATCACAATACAGTATACAGTATACACCAGCCATGTGAGAATGGTAGCGCTTACCGGCAAGTCTGAAAAATATAAATGTATGTCCATGCATGCATATGTCTATCTACGTACGTGTGTGTATGTAAGTGTGTGTGAATATATGTGTATGTGTATGGGTATGTGTGTCTCTATGTATGTATGTATGTATGTATGTATGTATGTATGTATGTATGTATGTATGCGCTTGGTTGTTTTCTTGGCTGTCGCGATGCGCTGTAGTAGTATCATCAATAAAAGAGCGGCGCTTGGTTGCTTTCTTGGCTGTCGTGATGCGCTGTAGCAATACCATCAACAAAAAGAGCGGGAGGGGGGTGCGGGGGAGGGCGCAGCGCCTCCCCCGCAAGGAAAACAACGTATGTTGAGCATCCCGGCGCTGAAAAACCAATCACCAAGAGTTGTTTCTGTAAAGTGTTTGAGGGTCAAAGGCTTTGCAGGCCAGTCGCTTGCAAACTGGTTGCTGGTTTGGTTTTGCATGACCTGCCTAAATTTAAAAAGCGGGAGGAGGTGCGGGGGAGCGCGCAGCGCCTCCCCCGCAAAAAAAAAGTATAGTGAGCATCCCGGCACTGACACAACATCAAAAGTTGTCTCACATGTGTCAACGTATGCGTGTATATTTGTATGCACGTATGTCAAAATAGTACTTGCACACGCAAAAGAAAAACTTCCCCGGGAGGGCCCTTACAAAGGGTGCTTCCGCCGTCACCTCTGCGGTACCCCAACATGAAAAACAGCTAGAACCCTCGATCTTACTTTTGGGGTTCTTGGGCCCTTCCTTGCTGACTTCCTTCCTTCCTTCCTTGCTGACTTGCTTCCTTCCTTCCTTCCTTCCTTCCTTCCTTCCTCGAAGACAACAGAACCTGGAAAAAAATCCCGAAACACGTTGGAAAAAAAAATCCCACAGAAAATGGGGTTCCGGTGGCAATTGGTTGGTGACAATTGGTTGGTGGCAATTGGTTGGTGGCAATTGGTGGGTGGCAATTGGTGGGTGGCAATTGGTGGGTGGCAATTGGTTGGTGGCAGTTGGTTGGTGGCAAGCGGGAGGCGGGAGGAGGAGGGCGGAGGAGCGGATACCACACTAAAAACAAAAGCCCCACACGTCAATGTGGGGAAGAAGGAGCGATTACGCTGCTTTTCGCTTACATTATCAACTGACTTCAGCCAGCTGCCAACCGTGTTTTCATGTGTTTTCACCTCTAAAGGTGGCTCCTGCTCACGAGCCACAAAGGGTGAGTCTACGACTGTGAACCCAGGTCGAACACCTCGATTATCAGTTGCACCTCCCTTCAATCAACCCGCAAGAATTCTCCCAAGCACGGAACTGGAATATGACACTTCAGCTATGCTGCTGTGCTGAGATTGACAACTCAAACCAAATCCTGAGCCACAACTGTGTCAAACCATGTCAAACCCGATCCACCCGGTAATGTAGACCCTTGATTAGGAACCCCCCATCTGGACTGAAACCCATCTTAATATGGGGTTAATTTATCAAAAGCTTACAGAAAACCAACATCGATCTACAAACCATCCCCCCCTATCTCTCAAACGTCTCAAACCCGAACTCGTTACTGGCCCCCGTCTCTCGTCCTGGCCCCGCTTCAACAGCAGCTTCTCCGGCATGGCCGCCCGCGCGCGCCGGAAGGCCTGTCGGCCCTGCGCGAAGGCGCAGCGCCGGAGCGCGTCGCGGCCCACCTGAGGGGCGGTGCGACGGTGCGAGGGGTCGTTGAGAAATGGACCAAGGACACGAACAACATCTTCGACTCCTTTGGTCAACATCTTCGACTCCTTTGACCCCAAGAATACACCCGGGAAGACCGACATGGAACCTGATGGCATGGACCAGACTGGAAGACTACTTTCCTCTACAACCCCGTGGTTTTCAGGTTCTATGTTAATCTTCCCGGGTGTAACTGGTTGGTGGTTTCAACTCGCGAAAGAAACATATCGGTCAGTGGGATCAATCATCTCAAATATTGAGAATAAACAGATAAACTAACCACCACCCAAAGACTAACCAGATAAGGACACGTTGGGGCTGGATGAATCAATATGCACGGGTTCATCAGGTCCCCCCTCACTCTTGTTGACATCTTTGTATGTCTCCAATCTCAGAACTTTCTATCGGCCCTCATCATGAGCCTCCCCAAACCACAGAATCGTTTCATGCTTTGGGGGCATCGCTGCGAACGGAGCAAGGATGCTACTAGTACCTCCTGGCATTACTACTAACAAATAAGTAACAAAGGGCATCGCTACGAACGGAGCGATCGGACGCTACGGATGACCTTTTCGCCGGATGTCGGTGCCTCCATGTGCTTCTCCGCTTCCAGCATCGCCTGCCGTCCCAAAAAAACCGAACACTTCAGGGCCGTGAGGGGGCGAGAAAAACAGACAGGCCCTGGAAATGCTTGGAAATGGAGACCCTTTGCGACCCTGAGCGCAGCCATTCAACACCCTGCGCCATGGGATTTCGCGTTGGATCGCCACTAAACGGGGTCGAAAGTCTCACGAGGGAACCTGTCTAACCTGTCTACCAAGCTCCTCGATGACAAAATCATAGTACAAACATCAAACGGCTTGGATGGAGTCTCCAAGCAGCTATATAGTAAGAAAGCTAGCCTATATTATGCATGTATACATTGGGTCTATCCTATATTACCAGCAACAGTGGATGATGACGGTTACTAAGGCCCTTCTTCAAAAATATGTGAACATCGTTTACCGACTGTTACAGGTCATAGGACAAACCCAATGTACACACATACTTTCAATGTGCCTTTGTAAAGCTCAATGCACCCTTTGCTCAATGAACCCGCAAACCGAAGGGGCCCCACCACATCTTCTACGCGACGGGTGTGCGAACGTCCGAACGGGGACGGCCCAACTTCCGGGCCTCTTGCAAGTCGTTGCTGAACTTCACGGTGCCGGGCGCTCTGGCAAAGTTGAGCTCAAGGCAGAACCACATGGTCTCATTGCCAGGTACTTTCCGTGGCACCTCGGAAGCTTCCGAAGCAAGAGGAGCTCCGACCGCGCCGGAGACCGCGGGACGCGGGTTGTGACCGGAGACCCGGCGCCCGAGAAGGCGATTCTCTTTCCGAGAAGGAGGTCCGACCGCGATGGGGAGGAAGGGCTCAAGACCCTTTTTGAGGAAAATCCGGTCTCATCCCGTCTGCCTTCACTACTGGATGCGCGAGAAAAGAACATCACCGAAAAAAACAAACACACACACACACACACCTTTGTAGACCCGTGGAGTGTCCCAAACAACCGCAAAAACACACAAAAGATTCTCTTTACATCTTGGACTCGCGACTCGCGCGTTCCATCGCCCAAAATCGAGGCATCGAAAATGGCTAAGCTTCCGAACCCCCTGTGGTCCATACGCATAGCTTGGAGGGCTGCAAATCCAGCACACCTCGCGGTGGAACGCGGTGGGTGATGCGAACAACCAAGCGGATTTGGGGGTTACCACGGCGGCTGAGGACTCTTCAATCTCTTTGAGAGCTGCTTCTTAGTTGTCTTTTGAACACGATAAAACAACATAATTAGTGTTATGCATGTGTATAGTATGTAATACAATTTTTGTATTATAATAGTTAGAGGCCGATCAAGAGCTTTCCAAGTCTCTTTGAGATCTTTTGAGGCGTCAATCTTCTGCAACAAATCCCACCTTGACTGTTCAATTCTGGTCAATTCCTGTCTGTTCGTTACACCTCGGGGCCATCCTCTCACCTCACAGTCACATTCAGAGGCCACAAGCTTCAAAAGGGCGAGAAAAACCACCCGGTAGGGCGATGCCGGGGAAAATGAGTACAGCCTTGTGTAGGAACAAAGGCTGTTTCCATCATTTCATGGACCACTCAAATCAAATTACACCATATGACACCTGGTGTCTTGAACACTCTCATGTGCTTCAGAAAGCCAGCGGCCACTACAATAACACATTCTCAATCAAAATTCTCAAACAATCATCTCCTACTTTGCTCAGACTGCTCCTCTGCAGCAACCTGCAGCAACCTTCTCAGCCTCTTCGATCGAAGATCTGCACCTGAAACACCTGAAACCCAGTTCCCGGTCCCGGTCAGACGGCCTCCCCTGGCCGCATCGAGGCAGCAGCCAACTGCCAACTGGGCAAGGCCTCCCGCCGCGAATCGGTGGACAACGTGGGCGGACGAGTCTTCCGAATGCGCTCGAAGAGTTGGTCTTTTTTGCAAAGGACACCTTAAAAGGTTCAGAAAAAAATGATTTAGCAGGGAATAGAATTAGAATGGACCATCATTTATCAATCTTTGATGTTTTAACCATATTTTTTTCACCAGGAAGAATGGAGCGTTCTTCCCCTCATGCTTCCCGCCTGCTGTCCACCCAGTTGGAAGGCACAGGGAGTTTCATGATTCTTACAGCGGCTGGTCTCCACGCACGAACCATTGGACAAGTAGCTGGCATAATGCAAGTTCACCTCAGACCGCCCCCGGACGCGTGTTTCGCCCCAGTCACCGCGTCGACCACTGGCCACGGGCCACGAGTCGAGTCGGAACGGCACGGTCCCGCCGGACCGTGCCGTTCGGTAGCTGGGAGTCGCTATACTTGGGGTGATGCATAGTGATTCAGAGATATGACAATATACAATATATATATATTGTTAGTTTTGTGCCACAAACCTTGGCATTTGCTTCCACCGTGTCGGCACTTGGTTCGAACTCGCCCGAAACAGGGCCCTTGAGTCACCACATGAGGCCACGTCAAAACAAGCGTTTGCGTTGCACGCTTTTCCCCCTTCATGTTCACCCAGTGACTTCGAGCGCACGGGTTCCTGAACTTGGTGTTTTCACCTTGTTTTCCACATTGGTAGCGGGGCCGTCAAAGTACGGCTCCGGGCGCCCGCGATAGCCATGCCTGACGCTTCGAGTTCGAAGCAACCGGATTCCGTAGCTGACAAGTTCTATATCCCCAGGTTTGACAACACGACAGTTGGCTACAAGGAATGGCGAAAGCGTGTCCAGTTGTACGCTCACCGCCAAAAGCTGCAGGGTCGAGAAAAAGAGACTGCCTTGAATATTCTCTCGGTTTTGGAGGGAGCTTCATGGCGACAGTGTGAAGATCTGGAGATCTCTGACCTGGAAAAGGAAGACGGACTGTCGCTCCTGCTGAAACGTTTAGATGCTCAGTGGCAGTACGATGAGAAAGTCGAGATGCCTGAAGCTTTTGACAGATTTTTCTTCAAGGTGATGCGCAAACCTGGACAGTCCCTACTGGAGTTTTGCACTGATTTCAACCAGGCACTTCGTGAGCTGCTCAAGTTCAAGATTGACCTCCCTCCTGAGGTCAGTGGTTGGCTCATGTTGAGACGTGCCGCATTGACAAGAGAGCAACAAGTGATGGTGCAGACACATGTTGGGACAAAGTTGACATTGAGTACAGTTGAGCCTGCATTGTATCTGCTGTTTGGACAGGATCACCGTCATGCCCATGTCGCTCAACGCCGGATTCCGTTACAGCAGGGACGATGGAAGAACCACCGACTTGTTCATGCAGTGACTGAGGAGTCAGAGGACGTTGAGGACTGGGATCAAGCGTACTATGAAGTTGAAGATGGTACTGAGACCTGGCTTGAAGACGACTACAGTCCGACTGACACGTACTGGCAGGACGATGAGGAGACAGCATTCGTTGATGCAGCAAGCACGGATGAAGCATCCCTGTTCGACACAGAAGAATTCGATGAAGTGTTTGCAGCATACACAGATGCAAAGAACCGCATGCAGCAGCTTCGACAGAGCAGAGGTTTCTATCCAGTTGTTGCAATGGTTGATCAGAGACAGATGCCAGTATCTTCATCTATGCCACCTTCTTCACCATCATTTGGAGGAGGCAAGAAAGGAAAAGGAAAGAAAGGAAAGTCCGGAAAGTCTTCATCCTCTACCAGCGGAAAAGGCCCTACCGGCAAGGCTCGTGCAAAGGATGCCATGCAGTCCATGAATGAGACCCGAACGTGCTTGAGGTGTGGCAAAGTTGGTCATTTGGCCGCCAATTGTCACAGCAAGGCTACTTCAAGAAGAGGGTCTTAGAAGATGGCGATCCGTTGTTGGCCGGCATGGCATTGACAGTTGAGCCAGCAGAGGATTCCGATGATGAGTTCAAGGAGGTCGAGGAGGCCTACGCCCAAGGAGAACAGCTGGTGAGAGCCGGCGGATGGTTGACAGAGAAGCCTGACATCGCGATCCAGGACCAAGGGGCCAGCAGTTTCCTTTTGGGCACAGAGTACCTGTTGAGGTACGTTCGATGGCTGCAGTACAAAGGCTTCAACCTGGACCAGCTCGAGTTCAAAAGATGTGACAAGCTTTTCAGGTTCGGAGGGGATGCAGAAGGTTCAGCGAGGTGGATGGTGTCCCTTCCAGTTCTCATTGAGAATGTGCCCGGACGCATTCAAGCGTTCATCATCTTCGGAGCACTCCCATGCTGCTTGGACGACCCATTTTGGAGCGCTTGCAGGCAGTTGTTGACTTTGGAGGAGGCCGTATGAAGATCATGGGAGGCGCTTGGAGGGACATTGAGCGTGGCAAGCAGGGAAGCATGCTCCTTTCCCTGTGCAGTCATTTGTTAGATGCCTCACAGCTGGACAACCCGACTTTTGACCTGAGGAGTGAGGATGACCACGGACAGGTTGAAAGCTTCGACGACTTCCTGAAGGACATGAGAGCCGAAGGACGCTTTGAGGAGATGAAGACAGAGATTGAAGACTTGGCGGAGGAGGCCGAGCATGCGATAAAGGTGGAAGGAGTTGAGAAGACTGTGGAAGGTCTTGAACGTCTTTTCACATGCTGCGAGATGCAGCTCCAGGATCTCAAGAAGAAGCAAAAGCAGATGATGAACGAAGCCCGGCCAGGAGCTCACAGGAAGAAGATCGTGTGGGAGATCTATGCCGGTCGAGGACGCTTCACGGAGGAGTTTTTGAGGAGAGGTGCTGAGGTTCGAAGATTTGGCTTAGCAGACGGTTGGGACTTCACCAAGGCAGCACACCGCAAGGCTTTGTTGAGGCTGCAGGAGGAGGAAGAACCGGATGAAGTCTTCATGTCGCCCAAGTGTACATTGTGGTCCACGATGCAGAACATCAACCTTCGAACGGAGGAGGACGTGCATGAGCTGCAAGAGAGGAGATGGTTGGACCACGAGATTCACCTCAAGTTCTGTCGGAAGATCTACTTGGGACAGGCAAGAAATGGTCGACATGGCCACATTGAGCATCCCGCTCATTCCAAGGCATGGAAGACTCCGGCCTTTCAGCTTCCTGGCATGCGCGTGACCTTTGATCAATGCGCATATGGTGCAGTCTCATGGACAGATGAAGGTGAGTGGCTTCTCATCAAGAAGGCTACAACACTTCAGACAACGAAGCAAGCAATGGTGTGGCACATGTCACGCCGATGCAGTGGAGACCATGATCACCAAGCCCTGGAAGGAGGCCATCGTTGCAAGGCTGCCGAAGACTACCCAGAAATGCTGGCCAGATGTTTGGCCGAGGCCGCCATGGCTGATGAAGATCTGTCAGAGCAGGTCTACGCAGTGGGCCAAGAAGAACAGCTCACAGGAGTTCTTCGGAAGCTGGGCACCAAGCACGGTGCTGAAGCCGTGCGAGTTGCGTATCGACTCCATCGCAACTTAGGTCACCCAAGGACTGAAGTCTTGCTTGAACTTTTGAAGAACAAGCCAGTTGATGAGAAGGTTCTGGCAGCCATTCGTGACCTTGAGTGCCCGTACTGCAACAGCTTTGCCATCAAGAAAGGTTCAGCACCAGCCCATCTTGATCGTGCGCGTGAGTTCAATGTACACGTTCAGGCTGATGTCATGTGGTTGGACCTCAACTCTCTTGAGGACTACACCGACAAGAAGCACAAGGCCAAGAAGATTGGCATTTTGGTCATGATTGATGAGGCAACCCGCTACATGATGGCCAGGACAGTGAGTGATGAACAAGGTCTGACTCTTCAGAAGGCCTTGGAGAGAAGCTGGGTTAGACTTCGGACCACCAACTAGACTCTATGTGGACGAGCACCCAGCATTTGCCTCAGACAGCACTATGAGGTGGGCAGAAGAGCATGGCATTGACATGCGCATCAGTCCAGGCCAATCACACACACGAACCAGTCTGGTTGAACGACGACACCAGTTGTTGAGGAAGAGTCTCCAAGTCTTCATGAAGGAGCACGATCTAAAAGACCTCCCAGGCCTTCACGACGCTCTTTGCTGGATTGTACCCTCATTGAATGATCACACCTTCGTCAATGGGTTCACTCCCACGCAGCTAGCATTGGGCAGACAGCCAAACCTCCCAGGCTTGTTGTCAGATGAAAGAACAACCATCAACCAGCTGCAGATGGGTGAGCAAGAGCGCCTGCGCAGGAAACTACAGTTGAAGTTTGAAGCTCAAGCAGCCTGTGCAAAGGCCGAGATCGATGTCAAGTTGAGGCGTGCCATGCTTCGAAAGTTCTCAGGTCGAGATGAAGAGCTTCAACCAGGTGAACGATGCCTGTACTGGAGGGAGTCGCCGGACCGACAACACACCATCCAGTGGAGAGGGCCTGCCACGGTCCTCGCTGTCGAGAAGGATCCCGACAATGGCACGATCGTGACCTACTGGTTGGCCCATGGAACGTCACTCCTACGAGCAGGTCGGCAACATGTCAGACGACTGCCAAGGGAGGAAGGGCTGAAGAATGCCGAGCAGAAGGTGAAGGAGTCGCTGGAAAACCTACGCCAGAGGCGAGTTGTCCGAGTCTTGGATCTCACAAAGGTCAACAAGCGGTCGCTGGATGAGTTGGACCCGGAGGAGGACGATGAGGAGCTCTTGGACCCTGTGCTTAGGCAAAGCAATGGACCAGCCAGCACCCCAGCGACAGCCGGCACCCCAGCGACAGATACCTCCCCACCGACAGAGGTGACTCCAACTATGGCTGTAGCACCACCGGTCCATGACCATGAACCAGCACAGGACACAACTCCAGTCAGCCAGCTTGAGATTGACCGGACACACCACAATGCAGCACTCTGGAGGCAGTTTCCAGGACACCAAGACCTTCCTGACCCAGGCAGTCTTCCACCAGTTCGCATGGATGATGACATACCGGAACAACCAACGGAGCCACCACCGCTTCCGCCAGTTCCGGAGATTTGATGTCACCAGTGCACATCCCACCATCTCTGGCACCGACTGAGCCAGAACCGGATGTTGAAATTGATCCCTTGTTCCGCACTCCCAAAGAAGAAACATTTGAACAGAAGAGAGCACGACTCAATAAGCAAGAGACATTGTGGATGAAGAAACCGGCAGTACAGGACACAGCACCACACAGCACGGCAAGGGGATCAGATGATCCTCTCCCCTTGGGCATTCCAGGCAGCCACAGGCCACCAACACCAGACAGCGGCAGCACAAGACATCAGGACAAGAAGTCAAGAACTGAGGAACCGGGTGAAGAAGCCTTTCAAGTTGAGCTTCTTTCGGCAGTTGATGACAAGCACATCCGCGCAAGCCTCAGCGACTTGGCAGAAGGGTGGACGTATGATGAGAAGACTCAGGAGTTCACCCTGGGACCGACCACAGACTTTTAGGGCTATGAGGACGGCTTCTTGGTCCGGCATCATTGCTGGGCACGTGAGAACACGTTCCATCTTTCAGAGGCACCACTTCCAGCTGACATTGATCCCTCAGAGCTCCAGGCAACTGAAGGACTGACGATGATTCAAGGTCAGCGTAAGATCTATGTGAATGCCTCAGAGTCCTACATGGTCGGAAGCCGCCCTTGGTTTGGTAAGACATTGTTTCCTTTGAAGAAAGAAGCAGCAGCACAGCGTAGGATGCCCTATGCCGGCGACATGGTCAACAAAACAAAAGGAAAATGGACCCTACGGGGCAGAGGACACATCTGGGCAGCTGTGGGAGTTTCCCGCACAAGAAGGGCTCGAGATGATCTCCGTGAAGGTAAGATGTCATTAGAGGACAGGTTGGCATTCGTACAAGGCAAGAAGTCAGAACTGTCCAGCATCTTTGAAAATGGAGTATGGGAGATCGAAACCAACCCAGAGAAGATTGACCATGGAAGAGTGATGAGAGCCCGGTTCGTGCTCAAGTGGGTCACGGATGCATCAGGAAACCCAAAAGCAAAGGCAAGACTGGTCCTTCAAGGTTTTTCAGACCCAGACCTTCTTCGAGGAGCCTTAGAGACCAGCAGCCCGACATTGTCCCGAATCAGTCGACAGGTTCTTTTGGCCATCTCCGTCAACGAAGGCTGGAGCAAGTTCACTGCAGATGTCAGCACGGCATTCCTTCAAGGAGACAAACAGTCCCGTCTCCTTTGGTGTCGCATTCCAGCAGATGCTTGCCGCCTGATGGGTTGTCCACCAGGTACCCATATGAAACTGCTGAAACCACTTTATGGACAAGCCGATGCTCCCAGGGCATGGTTTCAGGTTGCAAAGAGACGACTTTGCAGTGTCGGCTACACGGTTCATGCATTGGATCATTGTCTTTACAGACTCCACAATGCACAAGGCCGACTGGTTTCATTGATTGGGCTTCATGTTGACGACATGATCGGGGCAGGTGATGAGAATGACCCAGAGTACATCAAAGCAAGAGAGGCCTTACAAAAGGAGTTCAACTTCAAGCATTGGACCACGGAGAACAAAGGTGAGCTCGAGTTTTGTGGCAACAAGTTGACACAGCTCAGCAATGGGGCGTGGAAGATTCAGCAGGAGGAGTATTTGAAGAAGATCAAACCCATGTCAACCACCTCCAAGAAGCACGACGATGAGCTCAGGTCCAATGAAGTTAGTTCTTTGAGAGGTCTTCTAGGAGCTTTGCAGTGGGCAGCAACACAAACAGCACCCCACTTGTCAGCAAGCATTTCGATTCTTTGCGGCAATGTTAGCGGTGCAAGCCAATCAGTTTCAGATGCAGCAAACAAAGCACTCCGGTTCAGCAAGAGCAATGCAGATGTTGGTTTGATTTTTCAACGTCTAGGCCCTCTGCAGGAGTTGTGTTTGTTGGCGATTTCTGATGCGGCATGGGGTGTCAGGACAGATCACTTGAGCCAAGGTGGATTTTTCATCTTGCTTGCACATCGCAAGGTGCTTGAGGGAGAACCTGACCATCCATATGTTGTGTTGGATTGGCGTTCGTTCAAGTTGCCCCGTGTATCCCGCAGTTCGTTGAACGCTGAAGCACAATCTTGTTCAGCAGCAGTTGACACCCTCGAGTATGTCCACATCTTTTGGCAGGCATGTCACAAAGCAGATTTCAGTTTGGAACATGTCAAAGACAATCAGCGCAGCAGCGACTATTTCCTCCCCAATGCAGTGATCATTGATGCAAAGGCATTGTACGACGCTGTGAAAGCTGAAGTTCCACAGATCAGCGGTGACAAACGCACACAAATCGAGTGCATGATTGTGAAACAAAAGATGAAGGACCTGGACTCTCAGCTAAGGTGGGTGTCATCGGAGGTTCAGCTGTCCGACTGGCTCACAAAGATACAGGCAAGGCAGTTGTTGGCAGATCGTTTGAGATCACACCAGATTTCGCTTTCAGCTGACAGCACATTTCAAGCAGCAAAGCGCAAGACAGTGCAGGAAAGGAAAGACAATGCAAGAAGGAATGCAATCAGCGTGAAGAAAAGTCTGACCATGATGATCATTGCAAATGAGTTCAAGCCAGCAATGGCACAGAACGAAGAGCAGGATGCGATTGGTTGGGATTTTGCATTGTTGGTGATGGTTACATTGTTGTGCATTGGTCTTTTTCAGATCATTGGTTGGTTGCAAGCATGTTGGCGACAGCATCGTGACCTACCACCACCACCGTTGACGACCGAAGCTGAAGCACAAACTGATGAACCACCACTACCTGCATTTCTAAGAAGACAAGAGAGTGCAGATCGATATGAGGCAAGGATTACGCAGTACAAAGAGTTCATCAAAAGAGGAAATGAAGCCATAGACCAAGTGAGGTATGAAAAGGAGTTGTTGGAGACCAGATGTCAACAGCTCAAGGAAGAGATTGAGATGAGAGACCACCGAGACGACTACATGGAAGAAAGGTTGAATGAGCAACAACGGATGATCCGTGAGCTGGAAACATCGCTAGTGGCACAGCATGCAGCTTACATCCCGAACCACATCGGGGGCATCCCACAGAGAGTTTTTACAACAAGAACAGGCACGTGCTATCACCTGGAGTCAACATGCAGTGCACTACAACAGTCACATGATGTGAAAGAATGGTTGGTGTGCAGTTTCTGTGTTTCCCGGGTGACGCCTACGTCGCGGCGACCACAGCCGGGTTCCTCGGGTGGGACCTGATGATTCCATATTTGAAATGTGCTGGTAGCATTCGTCCGTGATGAGACTTTTGTTTGCTGCAGAGCACCACCGGTGTTAGTTTTGTGCCACAAACCTTGGCATTTGCTTCCACCGTGTCGGCACTTGGTTCGAACTCGCCCGAAACAGGGCCCTTGAGTCACCACATGAGGCCACGTCAAAACAAGCGTTTGCGTTGCACGCTTTTCCCCCTTCATGTTCACCCAGTGACTTCGAGCGCACGGGTTCCTGAACTTGGTGTTTTCACCTTGTTTTCCACATATATACCATATATATTAAACGGATAGTATCAGGTCCAGGACCTTCCCAGTGACCGAACGAACTTGAGATCCCAGTGGCTGAGGTCACTTAAACTTAGGCCTTGATTTCAGGTCACGTCTACCAATCCTGAAGAGGTCACTGAGAAGGTCTTGGGTATCAGTTTTTGGTATTGTGTATTGTTGGTGTGGCCTAACAATCAAGAACAACATTGAGCATCATTGAGGACCTTTTTGAACGAATGGAGGTAACAAATCGCCAACGCTTCGCTTGGAGAATCAACCCATTCCTCCATGCATGTGTTTGTGTTTGGATCGCACATCTTAAGTCAACAAATGTCAATTAGGTCTGCACATCCAAATAAAAAGTCAAGCGACCATTTTAGGCACATATTTTTTCACAACACCTTGCGTGGCGAAGAGCAAAGAAAACCTGTTCGTGGCGATTGTAGCACTGCTTTTCCTTTAGCTCATAAACCAACACACACACACAAAAACTGCGGTCAAACATAAGAACTGTTAAATGACGTCTTCACCTCTCAAGCGAACTCGCATGCTGTGGTTGTTTGTCCCAGTACCGCCGCCAAGTCACTCGAGCAAGTGCTGGGGGTCGGGATCCAGTACCTTCCCTATGGACATACTTCCAAAGGCCACTCCCTGCGCCTGGCAAGGCAAGAGGAAAGCAGTCTCAACAGTCCAACAGTCCGCAGTTGGTGAGTAGTTTCCTATGGCAGCTGTCATGAGGACTCGGTTTTGGATGTTGGGGGGAAGTGACATCATCAACGAACCCGAGCATGAACCATTCTCAAACCATTGCCCTGCCAAATGTTCAAGCCACCAAACATCAGTGTGCCTTGGATCAACAGAACAGGAATACAACCCCACAACAACAGAAACCAACTTGCACTGGGTCAACACCTCATGATTCTCACCGTGACTGAAAGGTCTTTGGGTGGCATCTATCACGATATCACCGTAGTATAATACCTGACAATTGACAATATATCTGTTGCAGACTCCTATCTCAACAAGTCGGACCCCCCCAAAAAGGTTCCCAATCCCCACTCCGAAACCTAGCCAAGGGGTTGGGGAGCTCCTGTGGTCGTTCCGAGTCAGTTCCAGCTCCCTGCTTTCGGAAGAACTGGAGACCCCCGCCGTCGCTCCCACGCCGTCCCTAACACAGGAGTCCCACAAGTCCCACTAGCCCCTGCGTCCCTTCCGGTCGACCGACTCATCCGACTCGTCTGACCTCCGAGCTCCTCACTTCTCAAGGCTTGGGACACCAGAAGTTCCACATCCACCTGCAGCCGATGAGGTGGACCAGATGCATCTCCACCACCCCACCGCCCCCCCCCGCGGTGCCGGGACCCCCCGGTGCCGCCCGGCCGAGCACGGAGAAAAAACCGAGCACGAAACTGAGCATGGGCATTGGTCGTACGTCTGTGGCTTCTGTGGCTTCGCTAGCTTCGTGGCTTCTGTGGTCTCCGCTCACCATGGGCTTGTTGGCGAGTGGCGACGCTGGGCATGGTCCCGTTGTGTGGGTCCACAGGTGTGATTTGGTTGGGGGGTGGAGTTTGGAGCCAAAAGAGGTAAAGGTAAAGCCAAATGGATTGACCCTCATCCCATAGGGGGGATGGCGCTGACTTCGCCAAGTGCGCTTGCATTTAATCATTTCCATGGATCGAGCTGCTGAAAGACTAGAGGTGAACAGCTAAAAAACGCTTGAAGAGGGCATGCAGCGGATTACCAAGCTGCAAACTCACTTTTGTCCTCACACATGCTGTTGGGTTGCAAAGATGGGTTAACGGTTAGTCTGAATACTCGCTTCCAAGTGCTTCCTTGGGTATACTAGTAAACAACCCCGAAGTTCCATCATGCTTCAAGGGCATATTCATTCTTCATCCTGTGTTCACCCACTCCTTTCACCATCTTTCACGGTTTTGACTGTGCCTTGGAGCCCCAAACGCCGTTCTTCCATCCTCCACACCCCAAGATCCCTTAAACCCGCAAACACCGCCCGCTCATACCCATGTCTTTACCCTCCAGCGTTTCACCGAACCGAACCGGCCCTTCGGACCCTCTGGGTTCGCTTTGGAACATAGACCAGTCTACATCCAGTCTACCCAGCCAGGGCTGAGATTTCGGGCGTCTCCCGGGTTTCAAAGGCACACCCAGAGGAGATGCGACCCTTCTCTCCAGCGCGACCCCCAGAGGCCTCCGCGTCCGCCGCGGTGTCCGCCGCCGCGGTGTCCACCGGGGGCTCCGTGGCGGGCGTCTCCTCCGGCGACCGCGGACGCGTTTCGGCGCCATGGAAGGGAGGGGGATCGGGTGATGAGTGGAGCAGGTGCCATGGACACCGCCCTGCACTTCCGCCATGTCCCGTCTCGTCTCGTGCCATGTCTCGCGGCCAACTCTCCTCGACCTCCTTTCGCTCGAAGATACATAACTGAGTGCAGGGACCTCAAGTAGTAGACTGCATCCAGAAGGCCCGAAAAAATGGTTCTTTCAACTGTTCATGGTCCAGTTGTTTGGAGATACATGGAGATACTGAGTATTTCCTCGCTGGGATTCCAACAAGTTTAGAACATGACGCCCTATGACTTGTGTCTTATCATTGCCAAAGTTGCTCTCCCAGCGAGTAGTCAGGATAATGATATGTGGGTATAACTGTGGGTATAGCTAACTTGATGGGAAGTACACTACTAACGCCTATTTAGTAAATGTTTGTAACATTTTGTAACATACCCCTTGCACACTTACATACTGCTTAAAGGCTTTGGTTTCAGGGTGTCTCCAGGTTAGGAAACCGACCATCCCCTCTATCTGGATCCACCAAAACTTCCAGAAAGCAAAGCATGCAAAGCTCTTCTGCGAGCTTGATTTCTTATGACAAAACCCTTCAAAAGGCCCTTAAGTCATCCATTTTTCTATCCATCGGAAAGAAGACTTGTCCCCGGTCCATCGTGATAGCGAACAACCGGACCACGGGCCCGATGCCCGTTTCGCCCGAGCCGGAACGAGTGAAGCGAACGAGATCTGCCCAGGCGCCATGGGCTTCCATCTCGGGGAGGAAGCCCACGCCGCCCAATTCAGAGATCCAGTAACCTGAGCCGATCCAAGCAGATGGCGTTTTCGACGATCCAACGAGTGTCTACCACCGTGCCGTCACCGTCTTTTGGACCGACGCCGAAAACTCGGGGGACGGAAGGAGAGGAGCTTCTCCCCCTTTTTGGGGGTCACCATGTTGATCCATTTTGGGGAATCGTCTTAAGTGCGGAAGAGTTACTTCTTGGCTGGGCCTTCTTTATCAGGTCTGGTCTGCTGGAGATTGAAATCTGCTGCCATGGGCATGGGGGAAGGCCAGTATCAAACACTCAAATACGCTTGTTGTCTGTACTCGGTGCAACGGCTGCAGAACAACGCATCACATGTGCCCTTTTTGGAACAACTCACGGATCTGTTTCAAACACCAAGGACATGGAATTGCAAGAGTCTTGCGTTACCTCCTTACGCCGTCCACATGCCATTCTCTGCCTGGTCTTGAGGCGCCCCCACGAGTCTACCGATCGGGTCCCCTCCACCAGGACTTTCCAAGTCCGGACCCGACGACATGTGGCCTCTCTGCACCAAACTGGTCACCAACACCCATCCTTTTCAAGGCTCCCAGGAACGAATCCCACCCAGCGAAGCCATCCCACCCAGCTTACGCACCGATCCGCCAGGTGGCCATGCTGCTCGGCCACCGTCTCCGACCACGCTCGGAACCTGCGGATGTTGTGCGGATCTGGAGGCTCTGAGCTCTGGGCCCATCTCAGGGCTCTGATGGGCCCCATCTCAGGGCTCCACTTCGGTTATGGTTTCGGTTGAGGTTCCACTTCGGCGCCGAAAGACACTCCCAACAAGAAGTCCAACGCCCCAGTCCTTGCCAACCCTTGTCCGGCCAAGGAGCTCTTCGCGCGTCCACTCGCGCTCGTGGTCTGAATGCCGGAAGGCCCGCAGGTGCGCACCACCCACGGGCACCTGGGCAACGGATCGTGCGGCGCTGGGTGGAGTTGGCCGTTCAGGAGGGATATGTTTTAAAACGGTGGTGATGGTTGAGTCGTTTGAAGGAACCACCATGTGTGTGTGTGTGTGTGAAACCATCGGTCACGGAGCTGGAAAACCCTATGAACGTCGAACAGAGTACTCTGCCCAAGGACAACGTCCAGTGCCTGACCTCGTCCTCCTCGTCACTGCTATCTCCGAAGTCCGCATTGGGGCCTTTGTCAAACAGCTTTTCAGAGTCCAAGCTGCACTTGAAAGAAGTTGCTGCATCCCTAGGTATCCAAGTACCTTCTCAGAAGGTACTTGGACCCTCAAAACCTACATCAGAGTGTCTCCAATCACCGTATTTGAGGTTCGGTACGACTGGATCCCTAAACCATGTTGCTGCCAAGTGGCTGGTGACGATGACCACTTGTGGTTGTAAACAGAACAGGGCCTGTGGCCTCGGTCGTGACGGCGTGGTCGGAACAGGCATCGGTTTTTCAGCCACTCGTGCCAACGACAGATGGCACAGACCCCCTACATGTCCGGAGGTCCAAATGTACCATTTGTTGGGGTCGCCATCTACTCTGAAACCACCACGATACATGCTGGACATGCAGAATTCTGGTTGGGTTGGCCAGGTTTTCTGGTTGTCTGGCTGGAAAAGGATGAGCCTATCTGGCTTGGTGGGCCACAGGGGTGTTCACTTCGACATCTTCGACTCTACGTGACCGCAATCCCATGTGACTCTGATGGAGGATCCACATCTGCCAGCGACCAATTGTCCATTCCTACGACTCTACGACCTTGTATTGATTGATTCATATTGATTCGATGTGAGGAAGGGGAAGATGATGGAAGAATGGTTCTTCCCTTCAGGTCGAGTCTTTTTCATTCTGCACACGTTATTATCTACACGCTTTCCCTGTACAACATGGAACGCAAGAACATAAATCATCCCATGTCTGGAATTGCAAGGTATGCTGTACAATCTTCCACGTGCAAGAACGTGGGCCACAGAAACTCTCACAGTTCTGCGAGAATGGCGGATCAAGTGGGTTTCTGGCCTGGCGCTCGACAGTGTCGACCCGGCTGGCACGGATCGACAAAAACGCGTCTGAAACCTACGCTTTGTATACCCTACAAGTCCAAAAACTATATTTTGACCGGCTGAAGTAGAGGAAGTTCCCTTCAGGTCCCCCAGTCAGACCATTTTTTTTATAGTCTTTGACTCCCAGAGTATACCTTTACCTTTTGGACCAAAGATTGTATGATCAAATTGGGCTCGATCGGTGCTGTGAGCCCTGGAGGGTTGTCCACGTCCCCGTCCTGGAGGCCTTAAGGGTGGGGTTGGGGCCGGAGGAGAAGCCTGGATCCGGAGCTCCAAGAAAGTCTGGATGTCTTCCGTCTTGGAGATGTATCAAGCCCAAACATCCCGAACACACCGGACGAAACGCAGCCTCTAAGCCTCTAAGCCATCAGAACATGTGTACAAATAGTTCCCGGGCAAGCCGGCGGCGGAAGTTTCCAAAAGAATAAGCCTATAGGAAATGGGCATGTGGCAGGCTGATTCGCCGAGCTGCGATGTTCTTTGACAAAACAAGTTGGAACCGACCAATGGAGCGAAAGCGAAGCAACCACCGTCAACTGTCTCGCAGGAAAAAACGTTGTTCATGCATTTTTGCAAAATATAGTAATAGAGATGACTCAGCCGCGTACTAAAGTTGTACTACAAAGTCGCCAGTTCTCAGCTTCCAGCTCCACAGATTGCTCCGCGTACTAAAGTTGTACCTGCCAGCTCTCCAGATACTCCGCGTACTAAAGTTGTACTACAAAGTCGCCAGTTCTCAGCTTCCAGCTCCACAGATGCTGTGCCCGCCACGAAATCTGCACATGGAGGTTCACAAAGTGCTGTGCCTGCCAC